ATCTACTCCATATTGCAAAATAGTTCATTAACCATTAACATATACCAAATTTCATTGGAGTATCTTTATTAAAAACGGAGAAACCCCATATCCGGTTGTTAAGTTTATATGGCAGCTATAAGAAATAGTAGTTTAATTTCAATCGAATCATATGGTGATCAGGGGCCGCTCCCAAAAAGTATGTGTGTAAAGTTTCATTCGAAGAGTTCAAAAGCTGAGAGAGTAGTTTGAACTGAAAAGGTATATATATACTTTACTGATATATACTTTATAGTATTTGCGACGTTTCCTTTAATGCGTTACGAAAATCTGGACAAACTTTATATACCCTTTTTACACTTTTTCGTGTAAAGGGTATAAAAAGATGTTAGTAGGGGCCCCTTAGTTAGTAGTTGCTTATAGGCCTGAAAAATGTAGTTACGCCACTGCCAGTATGTTGTTTAAATAATCCGACAGTGGAGGTATAAAACATACTAAAACAACATAAGGCTACTATAAAACGAATGAGTGGTTAATTAGGTGGATAGTCGTATATAACTGCAATGTTCTAGAGAGCATAAAGAAATCATTTGAAGAGATTACAATTATAAATTACTTAAACTGTTTGTTTCATAATAATCGAGCTTAATAAACTATCGGAATTTTACTTAAGTTATTTTTCAAAAAATATACTTTATGTATATAGCTCTTTCTATATATCAACATAAATAAAGTTATCGATTTGCTGAAATCAAAAATTGGACCACAAGCTAAACATCATTATTTAAATTTGTCTGAACTGGGAAACTTGATTCAGGGTTAAACTTATGTACTTATATATATCTACTGTAGTTTATCTGCTGGTATTTAAATTAGAAAAGTGATCACATTACACAACTTCTTTAAAGCTATTAATTTAAGGACTTAGAATTTTGCCTCATTTATTAATATAATTTATTGTATTATCGACAAAATACAACAATCTAGATTTGAATGTAGAAATCATGGAGAACAGACTTGGATAGAATATTACAAGAATCTGTATTATGAATGAAGCTGATCAATGACACCATAGTAAATGTTTTATTTTAACAAATGATTTTAACACATCAAACAACTCTCAGATTTCTTATCACTGGTTAAAGAATTCCCAATATTAAATAAAACCAAATGAACCTTACGAAATAAAGAACACTCAAATTTCATATCTCTAGTTTTCAAATTTCCAATATTAAATGAGATCAAATATTCTTAACCACACGGAAGACTCTTAGTCTGTTGATTAAAAACCAACATAACTCTAACTGACAAGTTCTTAATAATAAATGAGACTACATTAAAGTAACCCAACAAGTCTCTTAGATTTCATATCTTTAGTTAACGAGTTTTTAGTATTAAATGAGACCAATTAAACCTGACCTAACAAAAAACAGACTCATATCTCTGGTTGACAAGTTCATAATATTAAATGAGACCAGAATCTCCTGATTTAGTGTTCTCCTTTGAGTGAACATCGAAATCGGACATTCATAAAAAATGTAATAAGATGTTTTATTCCCATTCTGGCAGTTGCGATATGCTAGTACTTCAGAATGTCGAAATCGGACATTCATAAAAAATGTAATATGTAAGTTGTTTTATTCCCATTCTGGCAGTTGCGATATGCTGGTACTTCAGAGATATACATTTTGCTGAGAGATATGCATTTTGCTGAGATGATAAAGATGAATATTGTCATGATATAGTATACCACCAACTTCACCTCTGTGTTACTGAAAGTGGACGTCCTTTACAGCTTAGCAGATAACCGTATTGTTACGCTAATTATTGTGTATTTTGAGTTGAAAGTAAATTCCTTTTCACATGTTTTTTGCGTTGTTAAGGATATGTATGGCATCCAACCCCAAAAATCTTTTTATCTAAAATAAAAAGGTATTAAAAGGCTCCAATGTTCAAGTTGTGTTCCGAACTTTATGGGTTTTTAATTAGCAATTTTATCTTCTTAACTAAACACTGCTCCTCAAACCGCATGTGTGTCAGTCTAATACCATTAGTGTTTATACTAGAATAGACACTATACTAATATAAATAATACTAGACGATAATACTAGTGACAGCATACACACTGCAACTAGAACAGTGACAACAAGAACTTTCGAACCAAATTGAAGTGTTCTGTTTTATTTGTATGTCCAGTTATTTTGATTTTATCGAAGTTTTGGAGAATATGAATAGGAAGATATGTGCCAGAACCGGAGTTTAAATAATATTTATGTATCTTAACTCCTTGAATTTGAATTGATATTTTGTGTAATACTTACGATATTTACGATTTTCTACCATTTAAATAAAATATAAATAAAAGACGATCAATTATTATTATTTTACGATTAACTAAAAATATTTATTTCAAGTATAATATTTAAAATTTCACATATCGATAATATTGTTGAATAATTTTTAATTATATTGTATTTTTATAAATTAGCACAAATATATTAGTTAATATAATATTCATAATATATATGTATATTTGAAATAATCAGATACATACTAATATATATATCTCAAGGATTACACTAAACACTTACACAATACTAATGTACTTAAGCTTACAGCTAAAACAAATTTGTACATTATTTACAATTATAATTTTGTGAGTCAGTCACCAAAGGACTCGCAAACTTTTGTCGGCTTTATAAGGATATTTGAATATTTTTTGCAATAGAACTTTTAAAATTAATGAAGTATTCTAGTGATAATGTGAATGCTGCATACACACAAGTGATACACATATGATGCACATATAGTATAGTATAGTACGCTGTGAAAGATACGTGAATGTATTACTAGGGTTTTATGACGTCAATATTAGAGGCTTACACTACAAATTGAAATGCGAAAGTCTATTATTAATTATATCTATATTATATATAATTACAGTTTTATATATTAATATCTTATTGTATACATATATGCTTGTTTTATTCTCCATATAAATGTGTGTTCGCTACAACTGAACGCCCTCATGGGCATTTAAGCTTTTACTGCTACTGTTAAAGAATAAATTAAACGAGATCTTATCATTAGAAAGGAAAGTATCAACTCTTATACTGAATGTTCTGTTATGGATAATATAAAGGATATCAATTATGAAAACTAAAAAAAAACTAAAACTAAAATGCTCACTTTATAAGAATTACTTATACGCACTTAAAATACAATATTTCTGTAATATATATGAATTGCTTTAACCTAAAGACCTACGTGACTAACATGCTTAAAACTACAAACGTTGGGGATAAATAGCAGTCAAAATGTTTCTTAAAGAATCGTTATATCATTAAACATACTTTCTACCTATTGCATAGCTTAGAGAAGGCTTACTACCCAAGCCGCACCCGATTTAATCTTCATGCGGCACCTCAGCTGCCTGTTCCAGTTTTATTTTCATCAATTGTGTGTCTCGCATTGAGGAGTAGGAACCACCAGCTGCCATTTCTGGATTTGAAAAGAGCTCACTCATATCCTGACCGGGAAAAAAATCTTCAAATCTTGGACTTTTATTGACTGATTTCTGCAGCAGGTTGTTTGCTATTGATTCGAAATCTATGCCCGGTGGTAAACTTTCCAGGAGTCGTTTATTATATGCATAACTAGGATGTTCTTTGTTTCTCATATGTTGGAAGTTTGAACCACCGCCACTTATCGTATTGTTGTTAGGGCCCAATGATTGTTTCTGTGTGCTGCCCGCTGAAGAGCTACGTGATTGATTGCCATATTGACGTGCTTGCATGGCCTCTTTTAACTCGCGATCTCTTTCACGTTCCCTATCAATGTCTCTTTCTCTTTCGCGTTCGCGTTCACGATCACGTTCTCTTTCACGTTCTCTATCACGCTCTCTTTCGCGCTCTCTTTCACGTCCAAATGAACTGGAGTGCATTTGACTGCTGCGTTGTCCTTGTGTTGGCATTACATTTAGTCCTGGTATACCCATTAGACCTAAAGCACTTAGGTCGGGCATATTTTCGGAACCGCGACGTTCAGCTTGATGTTTGGCAGCAGCAGCGACAGCAGTTACTTGATCTTCGATTTCAGAGCGTTGTAAATATGCTGGAGACTTATACATGTTCATTGTTTGCGAGATTGGTGACTGTTGCTGTTGGGACATTATCTGACGACGTAAGGTTTCGGTCATTGTTGAAAGTGGACTAGCTGAATCCGGAGGTGCTAAAGCGGCATTTTGTGCTGCAAATTTAGCAGCATTATGATAACCATTGGCGCCCGGATTGACAGGTGTGCCATATGGAGACTGAAAAGAAATTAAAGAATACCAAAAAACAAAGTTTAAGATGATGTGTATTACAGAGGGAAAATTTTGGAGAATAAAGAATAAAGTGCCAAAAATAATACTTGTTGTTAAATATCAGCAAACAATTTTTTTATAGTAACAAAAATTAAAATTTTAATTATAATTTTATAAAAATGATTTTTTTAAATTATAAAGTTTTTATAATCCCATCCAAATAATTTTATAACCATTACAAAAAAAAATGTGACAGAAACCTACCACATGTCCTTGTCCATTTGCATAAGGATGACTCATTTCATCTTTGATTTCGCGGTAATCACGGAACACAACTGCTTTAATAACCGAACGTATCAACTCCTCCGGCCACATGCCAAGTAGAATACGTTGCGGACGACCACGTGCCTTGGGACGAGGATCAGTGCCACCATCCAGAGACGGTCCCAGCATATTATGTACACGATTTGCATATAAAACGAATGTCGGATACGGTATGTCATATTTACGTGCTGCCTGTGATAGTGATAAACCTTCTTTCAAAACGCTAAAAATAGCTTCGGCCATAGCTTCCGGACGCCAAGACTTCAATGGTCCGCGCTCACGAAATCTTAATTGTTGTACAAGGTTTTGCTGATTAGTATTCCAACATTTTTGCCACATGGATTGTAACTGGTATTGATAACTGTCTGTTGGATGAAAAATAATATTGCAAAAAAAAACATTGTATTAAGAACCTTTCACAAAGCATACTTTCACAAATAAAAAATTTTACTCAAGAAAAATTAAAAATAAACTAAGACAACTTTAAATGGTTTACTTACCGGCCACAGATGAAGTAGAGGCACCGCCGCCCATCCAAGGGTGACCACCTTCAATCAATTTTGCCTGCAAGAGCAAATAAATAACATTTTTATTAAAAAACTAATTTTAAAATTAAACCTAAAAATTATATACGTCATTGTGTATGTCTAATGTTGTCTATGGTAATAAAACAAATTTAATACCACAACATCGGTAAGCACATCGCCTGCAAACGCTCATAAAATTAGAGCAAAAACTCTATTAAATCATTTTTTTCTACATATTTTTTATGACAGCAAGAAAAATGTTTTATTTATTGTTATTCGACAAACAAAGTTGGAAGTGCCTGACAACTTGACAGTCACCACAACGAAGGTAATGAGAAGGTCTTGGCTTATGAAATAAATATATATGAAAAACTATTAAGGCTCATTGTCCATGAGTATAAATTAGAATTAGAAGTACGGCAGGAACAGCTACGAGTATTCCACCCAGCACCATATGTCTGTCTACTATGCAATATTGCATTCATTTAATTTAATTTTTTAAAAAGCACTATAAAATCAGCTAAAAATAGTATCTAAAGCAAAAATGTATAAACCTCATCTGCATAACAAATAAACTTAAAAAACCATTAACAAAGTGTTTTACTATGCCATTTTTTATGGCATTGCCAACGCCATCTTGTTTTGGGGGCTCCAAACTAACATAAAGTTGAGTAGCCTCGTTTAGTTGTTATTTGCTTGTTATTGCATTCTTGTTGTTGCTGATGTTATTGTTGTTGTTGTTGTTGTTAGTGTTAGTGTTCCTGTTGCTATTGCTGTTCTTACAATATATTTTTTATATTCACAGTGAAGCTATAAAACTGCTTCCGACTTATATTTCAATTATTCATATACTTTATGGCCTTTTCCTTAACATACCGTGGCATATGATTTCTCATTTTTATTTATTAATAACTTTTATTTCGCATACTAACAATATTTTCCTTGTCAAGCTACCTTTTTGACAGGCATTCTAGGGATGATCTGGTATATGTAGCTGATAGCACCTATTGGTACTCATTTTTATTATTACATGATATTTCGGTTAGGTCAAGTTAATGTGACAATCGGACTACTTGGCCAATTCTTTTAAGTCCTTCAAGTTCATTAGTAAAAGGTTTTATTATTACATGAATTACCTAAATAGGTAAGATTAGGTCAGGTCAAAATGATAATCGGACTAATTAACCAACTCATTCAAACCCTATGAGTTCATTGATGTTAATGTTTAATATTATATGATTTTTAGTTAGAGTCTCACTTACACCCTGCGGATTCGTTGAGATACCACGACTTAACTGTTTCACATATGAAACTATTTTGAGATTCATATTAGCGTGAGACACCTTTGTGAACAAACTGAAAAGAGTTTACACCTCTTTTTTTCTGTGAGAGCTAACATGTTCAACATTGCTTAATTTATTAATCTTAGAGCACAATAGTAACAAACAAGAAGACCTTACAATTTATTCACTTCTTCTGTATCACTTAATACCAACTTTCCAAGATGGCAGCTAGCAGGTGCAGTTTGAAATACCGATTCTTAGTCTGGGTTAGATTAAGATTAACGAGAAGTCTGAACTATTTATATTGTCTTTAGTATTTGGAACAAGAGCATTTTGAAAGCAATTTATATTAGATATTAGAAAAAGCTGATCATTTTTGGTAAGTGAATATCTCACAAAAAGGCAAAGGTCCTATAAAATAAATCAGGACCTTCTCTTCTTCTTGAAAATGGCGACGATTTCAACGAATCACTCTATTCTTCAAACTAAATATCTAAACTAATATTGTTTTACTGAACTCAATTATGAGATTCGCGCGTCTTCCGATCAATTTAGAATTTGTGATCCAAAGTTAGAGAGATTTTATAGCAATTAGCTTACTATTGTCAAAGATTCGTCTGTGTAATGGCCATTAACTACTATTTAACTACTGTTACGCTAAATTAGTACCGCACTCTGAACGTCATTTATACCATTTAAATTGCATCTTCACAATAGATTGACTTTCTAATTACAACAAAAAATGTTGTTCCTTTAATTTAAACTATTAAAAATATTTTTTTTGCGCTCCTTTCCTCACATTTTTCACTAATAAAGTCGACGTTTGTAGAGAAATTCATACATTAAGCAAAAGGTAGGCACAGAACGTCAAAATTGCATAAAAAGTTACTACTTAAAACTTAGTAGGGCAGGGCAACACTGTTGACAGGTTGCTGAGTTGGCATGCTGGTACAATGGTAAAATAGTTAAATGGTAAAATGGTGAAATGGCAGGCGTTAAGGCAAGCAACTGCTACAATAACTACTAAGTAGGCAATACATAGTGCATGGGTCAACTATGTAGTTTATTGTTTTCCTTTGCAGACAGAATTGCATATTTCGCTAAGGCACGAAACGAACATCAATTTTGACTTCTCTATAAGCAAAACTTCGCGTAAATTAGTGTTGCCAGTGTTGCCATTATAACTTTTTGCTTTAAAAAAAGCTTGGTTTGCTTATATTTTAATTTTAATTTATAGTTTTTTCACTTTTTTTTTTATTTTTGTGATTTTATCCTATTCATGTGTCCTAAGAGTATAGTGTTATATTTAGAAAGGAATTAGTTGCTTCCTGTTACTTTCAGTTTAAATACGTTTTTTGTTTTTGTTTTTGTTTTTTAATTTTATGCAAATGCTTAACATTAACAAATCGTAACAATACAATTTCACTGTTAATTTTATACTTCAGGAGACCTCAGGATTTATATTTTTATTTTATTTGCCTATATGCTATGTCTTTGCTATGTCCTTTCTATGTTCTTGTACATTTGTTGCTGGCGGAAATGCAGCATTTTGGGCTGAGAAGCAGTTATGCCAGAGAAATAACACAAAGCATTTTTAACCTGGGCATGAGTTGTGTGAATATTGGGTAAGCGGAAACGGATTTTTAAAAATGTAAAACTTCCGTTAAATTAAAATAATGTTTATGTATGTATTGCAGTTGTAAAATATTACAGAACACGCAAACTGTTAATTAATGATTAAACAAATTCATTTCTCTTTTTTAATTAATTTTTTTTTGCAGAAGGACATAAAGAGATTTAATAGCAAAGCATTAAAATTAGTTAAAAGATATAAAAAAACAAATTTTATCAATTATAATTATTGTTACCAGATTATATTAATATATCGCATTGAGCGGTTTGAGTTTGAGTTTTATTTTTAGAAAACAGAATTAAATAATATTTCTAAATATTATATTAAAATACATGAGCTCTAAAAACTATTTAAAAATCATAATAAATGTCGTTCTAAATTCTTAATAATTTCTTAAGAAATAAATGTCGTTCTTAATTAATAAAAATAAAATGAAATTAAAAATAAAATTCAAGATTTTAAATTAAAATTTAAAATAAAATTATTAAAATTAAATTTAAAATTAAAATGAATTAAACTTTGATAGTTAGTATTAAAATTTAAACTAAATTTAAAATTAAAACTTAAATTTAAAACTTCAAATTTAAAACATAACATTTAAAATTAAAATTATAACTTAAAACTAAAATTTAAGAACATTTAAAAGAAAATTTTAAGAAAAAGAAAATTAAAATTAAAACAAAAATTCAAAATTTTATTTTAAACACAGAATTTAAATTAAAATAGAACATTAAAATTAAGATTAATATTTAATTTAAAATTTTTTAAATTAAAATTTAAGATTAGTAATTAAAATTAAACATTTTTAAATTAAAACTTTTTTATATATATTTTAATATAGTTTTAATTTTTTGTGCTCATTTTTTATAATTCCAACCATTTTAAAAACTTTTTCTTTTTATAATTTAATCATATTTTATTGCATTTCTTGTGCTTTTTCTAACTAATAAACACATTCAATGATATGGTTACATTGTACTGGGTTTAAATTGGGCAACCCACATGTGACCTTAGGGTGTAAGTTCCTCACATGTTGTTGATTAATATATTTATGAATGTCTCTAATTAACTTAAGTATGAATAAAATTCATTCTTTTGTAAAATCATTTAAGTAATCAATTTTCTTATGAAACCTTCAACCCTGTTTTAAGTACTTGCAGTATTAGGCACGTGTGTGTATACGTGTGTGTGTGAAGCAAATATTTATATATGTGTGTGTATATAAGTGAACTTGCAAGAAAGCAACAAAATTGCTCGTAAATTTTAAATTAATTAAATTTTTCAAAACAACAAAAACATTTACGCGTACGTCTTTTCTTTTAACTCATTTAATTTAATTTTAGCCGCTAACTTCACTTTCAGTCGCAGTCACATCTACACACACACAACGACATACATATACATTATACGCAGCTATAGTCATCACATCAGAGTCGTATGAGTCTAGTATCGTTGCCATATTTTCTTAATGCTTCCATTACTCATCATGTGTGCGCACACCCCATTCACATAATAATTTATTTAATTAACTTTTCCTCTGCTACAATTTTCTATAAAATTTATTGATTATTTCTTTCTTTTTAATTCCTTTTTTTTTGTATTTTTTTTTTGTATTTTGTGCTTTTCATTTATTATTATTTCATGTGCCTTTTTATTTTTTTTATTTTTTTTATTTCTGATATTTATACTACAACGTTCTTATTTTTCATGCACACAATTGCACACGTTCTTCTATATAATTACTTGTAATGTATATATTTAAAATATATGTTATATATGTATATAAATAATATTTTATATAAAGGTTTATGAACGCTATAGACCGTAATAAAATATAAATTTCAGTTCATACTATACCCGCCTTTGAGTCTAATGCAATTTTAATTTTATTTTTCACATACAACTACACCCACTACCGCTCACCCACTCACCCACTCACCCCTTCCTAACCCAACCACATATGCAACATACACAATACAAACCAAACACCTCACACGCTCTGCTACATACAATGTGCGCGCACAGCCTCTTTACCGCTGTGTAGTTGCTTATAGGTAATAAAGTTACACACACACACACACACAAACACATACTGTGCATACTGTGCACTTGCTTATAAGCATGTTCTCCTTATACAATATATGTAGGTTTTTGTGTTGTAGCTCATAACTTTTATATTTTTCTTATAAAATATAACAATTTATTTATTATTCATGTTCGATTCGTACATTGCTTATATTTCCGTTTGATGCGCTAGCAATGTTAGCCTTAAAGGCATACAAGTCGAGTACGTGAAGCAGCGCCTATTACAATTACACGTACTAAGAAGCAGCATCGGTTCCGCTGCCTATAGTGGCAACGACATGCACCTCCAGTTCGTTTGGAAAACTCATATAATCTTATGTATGAAAGACAATTGACATGTGCAAAAACTTAGCTAACTGCCCCGCGTACAATGTACCAAGCATCAGTTCCGCCGCCTATAGTGGCAACGACATGCACCTCTCCCGTTCGTTTGAAAAACTCATATAAACTTAGGTAGGAAAAGCAATTGACATGTACAAAAACTTAGCTAACTACCCCGCGTACAACTATTGCCCTTAACCAACAAGTGCGATTTCACGCATTCATTCATGCAATTGCTCACTTTGTGATAAAGTAGCGCGCACACCCCGTAAACCACAATGAACGTACATTTAACTCTGTGCTTGCACTAGGATTCATTAATATATACCTATATGTGTGCATGTGTATGTGCAGCTAATGCACTACTTTAGCATCTTATGGCACGTCTGTCTGCCTGCCAGTCTTCTGCTTCTGCTTCAGCTTCTTCTTATTCTTATTTTTCTTCTTAGAATTTCTGTGCTTTAATGTAGCCAACATCATTGCTCGTGTAGTCGTTGACTTCGTCATCGTCACAGCCAACGTCATCGTCGCTAGCGTTCACAATATGCGCTCTCATTCCATTCATTAATTTCAGAGAAAAGAATCGTATCGCATAATAAATAATTAATTTAAACACCATCTTCAAAACAAAACTGTACAGAAAGTTTTCTTCATTTGTTATTTATTTTTTTTTTTAATTTAAATATACTTTATGTATGCATCTGTATTTTTATTTTTATATTCGTTTATGTAAATAATAAATATTTTTCCTGTTTTAAATTATGGATGCGGAAGTGGAAAATAATCAACTAATGTAGAATTTCGCAGAATTTAAATTGACTAAGTAAAATCATTATAGAGCTAATAAATTTATTAATTTTTTTTTTTACATGACTTAATTTATTTTTTTAACAAAACAAGTGATTAGATTAGATACTGCCATAAGAAGAATGGATGAGTACTTTGAAGACACAGAAAATTGTAATACTACAAATTGTAATATTTCTTGATATTTAACGGAAATACTTTCTAAGTACTTGAAATATCAAGAAATTAATATTTAAGAAAAAAAATATTGCAACTTTATAAATTACTTTTACCCAATATATCTTAAGGATGCTGCACAAATTATTAAATAAAAATAGATTTAAGTATCTTGGTCAACTTCAGAACCTCCTACTTAAGTAGATTTAAGGCCAAAGATTCAAAATAATTTTTATGTCTCTGAGTTTCATATACGGCAGCACAACGGAGTAATAAGCTTAAGTGATTCTATAGTATCACCTGTAGAACCTAACTTAACCCATTTGAACATAAATTTTAAACTAACATGTTCTCATTTCCTTTCACTTTATCTATTTTTTCTCTTATTCTCACTAGATTAATGTTAATGATTTAAGGCCACAGGTTCAAAGTGATTTTTAAGTCTCAGACTTTCTTATACGGCAGCACAACGGACTAATAAGCTTAAGTGATTCTTTAGCATCACCGGTAGAACCTAACTTAACCTATTTCTATATGTACTTCAAACTAATATGTTCTCATTTCCTAACACTTCGTATATTTTATCTATCATTCTCACTAGATTCATGTTCATGATTTTAGGTCAAAGATTTAAAGTGATTTTAAAGTCTCCGAGTTTCTATACGGCAGTGATTCTTTAGCATCACCGGTAGAACCTAACTTTATTTCTATATATATTTCAAACTGATATGTTCTCATTTCCTAACACTTTGTCTATTTTTTCTCTCATTCTCGCTAAAGTCATATTCTGTTTCCATCAACACTTACCTAAATCAGAGTACAAACTCAGACCACATAATCAAATAGTGAGCAGAGCAGGCAGCCGAGCAAAATACGCTTAACCACAAAGCAAACTCTATAATTGAATATATTAAATTTAAAGTTACAATTCTCAATACATAAACATATAAACTCATAAGTTATTCAAATATATATAAAACCAACTGGTAAAAGGAAAACCATAATATTTTTATCTTACGATACAATTAACCTAAATTTTTTGATGTGTTAGTATAAAGGACTATTTTTAAAATTGATACGACGACCAATTTTCAATAAAAAAAAAAAAACAAGAAACACTCATAAACTAAACTTTATTAAAGCTCACAAGCAAACATGCACACACTCATACACACCTATTGCAACTACATATTAATAAGATATTGAAAAGTATTACCCACACTTCGTACTGTATAAATGTATAAATGTGTGTGTGTGATCTTTGTGGTGTGTGCATGTTACAACGATGATATGAAACTTTCTTTTTAGCCTGCCCGTATACCTTTTGATACTGGCATTAGAATTGAGCCTTGCACAGACAGTGCTACCATATAATGACACACATACCCTGCAAGTGTATTTGTGTGCGTGTGTGTGTGTATGTAAGTGCGACTATGTTGCTTGCTACAATGTATTCAAGGAATATAAAATATACAACTAAATATTTAATACTATTTTATTGCACGTATTTCAAATAAAATATGCATGTCGGCCAATGAATTATTCATAGAATAATGAGCATAACATTGCAAATAAAAAGTAAAAATAAAATAAAATTAAATGAAATAAAATAAAAGACAGAAAAGGTAACAGAAACATCGTACATTCAAGTGTGCTAGTTATTGCAACTATTTACATATACTCATTGTTGTTGTTGTTTTTGTTGTTGTTATTGTCGTTGGTAGTCTGTTATTGTTGTTGAAGGAGTACATTGAGTTTATTTGAACTATATATTAGTATTATAACGCAACAACAGCAACAATAGCAACAACAACTACTACAATAACAACAAACGACAGCACGACTATGTCTATGTCTATGTCTATGTCTATGACAAAACAACAATCACTTACTAAGTTTGAGTCGTGTTACAGAAATTCGAAACAACATTAACAGCGTCATCATTATGACATTACAATATAGAAGTACACAGGAAAAAAAACAAAAAAGAATTAAAAATTATAACAATTTAAATGCAATAAATAATTATATGTGAGTACTTTTGTATGTTAATATATATTTTTTTATTGTTTGTTTGGTTTGTGTTTATGCATGTGTGTAATTATATATACTTTTGTTTTTTTTTTGTTTTTGCTTTATTGTTGTTGTGTGTGCGAAGTGTATAATTTCTTAATCCTTTACAATTTGCAATAATAGCAAAGCCTCTGTATGGACTGCACTATCGTACTCATTTAGGTACTTTTAGCGTGAGCACTTGGTGCGGTGCAATCGTTTTTAGTTTTGTCTATGAAGGTTGCCTCCATCGTACTTGTTCATGGTTTGTTAGCAGCGAAAGGTGCACCCACCCACTTCTAAAACAATAAATAAATTATGAACTCAATATTTAAAACGTAATGAGAATTCACTATGAATGCACTGTTTGATTGATGCATAAATGTAGTTAAAAAGGACAGATGTAAAATCAAGAATTGCCAGTGGTGTAGTTACTATTAATATATTTTCCTATTTTTTAAAACTTTTTCTAGAATAATTTTGGTAAACTAAACTGATACTAACATTACTTAATCAACACTAAACTTATCGGAATATACTACACTACAGTTTTCTTAAGGATTAAGAAACCGTTTCATTGTCTGTAGGTTAGATTAGATTTGGTTATACCAGTGATTCTAAGAATCCATTTAAACCTATTGGCCTATTGTGTTACCTCACCAGACACTCAAAGAATTAACAACTACGTTAAATTTTCGGCAGAGCCTTAAATGGCCGAGTTCTTCCATAAAGAAGGCTCCAAAATTGGTAGAACGGTTAACGCATGTGCTAAGCAATAACAAAGCAAATATAAGGTATTTTTATCATACACAACCGCAGAAACTATAGAGCATCTAATATGTAATATGGAACTATGTAACAATATCTTTCTATTATAATTAGTTAGCGTATGATTTGCGTGAAGGTATAAAATCGTATTGAAACTTCTTCCCTTTCTAACCCAAATGTTTAATTGTCTACAGCTTTAAGCCACCCAAATATATGAAAAGCTATAGCTTTAGATCACCTTTAAAAACTTTATCGTACGAAAAGCAATCATTACGGTCACTCAAACCATTACAAACGGATGTTCTTCACTTTTTTCTGAACTAACTGAAAGTAATGTAGACTGTAGAGTAAAGTAATGTAGATTGTAAGACGTTTCTGATAAATAATGTTGTACTTTTACAAATTGCACAACTCAGAACTCTTCCTGATCACAGAAGAAAATAGGTAACAATACCTTATACTTTCTTTTAAGCATTTTTTTTTAATGGTCTTAAATGCACAGAGGTCTCATAAATTTTAAATTTCTAAGACATGACTTCAGCCGCGTTTGTAAGTGTACGTTTCGTTATAGTTTTCGGTGTGCTCAGCGGAAAAGCTTTCTTCATAAAGCGCTGACTTTGACCAGTTCGTACCATAAAAAAATATTTTGAACTGTGTCTGCCGCAAAATGTAAGATTAATTCGACTTCCATCATAGCGTTAAGTAAGCATAGCCAATTACATTATACCGAACTGTAACTCGAAATATAAAAAATTAATATACATTAAAGTATTCGATAGTTCTTATAGCTCTAAAATATAAAACCGTCACTCAATTCTAAAGCGAAAAACCTTTCTTCCAAAGAACTGATATACTAATGCTACCACACGATTGTCAATAAATAAAATATATGTTAAGCACTAGTTGCCACTAATGTGCAAATTGCAGCACTAAGAAATTCTGTTTATTCTTATTAATAGAAAAGGGAAAAAATAAAAAATCATTTTTAAATGCTTTCTTTACAACTTAACTTAAACATTATTCTTAACTAAATTTAAACTTAAATCCTTAACAACTTTTGATAACTACACCTTCAGATTTTTAACCCCTGAGTTATATCTGAGTTAACCACAATTATTCTTACCACAATTACATGTGAATTTCTTATAACTTTTAGTTATAAATATTTTTGCAATTTTGCCTATTTAAAAATTAACGTTAACAAATTGTAATTTGCATTTTCAATAGCAGAGTACGTACGGTACCAGTACCAGTACACCTGTATGTATGCAATTAAATTGTTATGTAAAAAGGATAGATAATATATACAAAAAATTACAGCCTATGAGAAAATTTACAAATCTAAACTTTTAAATCGATTTACACAATGAATAACTAAGTTACAGCAACTAACTAACAAATTATTAATGACTAAAGTTTTAATTTGAAAAAGCCATTGAGATACATTTTAAGAAGTAGTTATAAAACTTTCCATTAGGTATTTTGTGCTGAAAAAGTAAAAAATTACAGTTAAACTTAATAGCAGTTTTGTTAAAAATACTTATATAAGCTTAAATTTTATTATATTTTGACATACATTATATAAAACAAAGTGCATTGGTGCAGAGTTTTCCTACTGAAAGGAGACCCCAATTTTATATTGCAGCACCTATTATCTCAAAATTTTGTCAGCTTGTTATATGGAAAATCTAAGGGTTATATAAAAATTTAAAAAAAAAATTCTACAAAAAAATTATATTTAAAAAAAGTAATAACTAATAAAGCGATAACAAA